GGGGCTGGGAGACCCCCGATCCTGACCCTTACCTATAAGGCTTAAAAATATGGAAATGCAATTAGCAGCCTCTGCAGCCTAATGAGGCCTCTCTAAAATGCTGATAAAATACTACTCAAGGAAAATGCTTGAGAGCCTCTTCAAACTTTCCAAAATGTGAAGTGTGTCCTTATGGAGAAAACGCCAATCTAGTCTCCTTTCTTCAAGGTTCAAGATTAATTAGGGGCTTATTTAGTGCATGAATGACGAAACAAATGAACTCTTGGATCACAAAGCATTGAAACCAATTTTTTAATCATTTTTTTTTTTTTTACAATTACATTCCTATCATAAAAGTCTTCATTAGACGTTGTCACCGGCATGTATTGTGCTAGGGGAAGTATTATCACCATGGGCTTTTGACAAGACTGTGTTTCCTTCCCATTAAAAGAGGGCTCTTAGAACAAAAGCCTTTTCTTTCTTCCTAACAGCTAAGGGCTGTGACTTGGAAGGCTAGTCTAAGCTCCAGGGGAAATTCAACTCCCTGTGTGTTCTCCTCAACCTGAGTGCACCTGCTTTTTCTGTAGACAAGGCTTCTTCCCAAATAGGATGGACCAACAAGGTGCAGGGTACGCGTGCCTGTCTCCCCGGACTGTGTGTCCATTTACACAGCCCTTTGTGAAGACAAGACAGGCATGGAGAGCCAAGTGAATCCTGCATCCCTCTCTCTCCTCCTCCCTACAAACCTTTGAGTGGAAGCCAATCTGGACAGCCACCTGTTACCACCAACCCATCGGTTCCTTTCATTTGGTAAATGGTTATGGTGCACCTACCAGCGCTGTGCCCTGTTAGGGGCTGGGGATACAGCAGTGAGTCCTGGATGCCGCTTTGCCTGCCTCTCTCCGGTGGGGCCCCCAGCTCAACCGGCAGGGGCCAGCTGGCCGACTGGGTGCAGAGCCCTGGATGTGCGTCCTTGGTCTGCCACGTGGGGCTTTCCAGCCCTGGCCAGCTCTGAGCTGGATGACGCAGACACGAAACCAACAAAAGAAGTCTGAACCACACTCCCCACTGCCTTGAGTGCATGCCCCACCCAGGGCAGCTGCTGGAGATCCGGCCAACTCGACATGTTGGCTCAGAGAAGGCCACGACTGCCACCATTATAAACAGGTGGGGTGTGGGAGCCTGCTCAAGGGAGCACATAACTGTCAGCAGTTGGGACATGGTCCTTTGCCGAGCTCTGTGACCTTGAACTTGTTCCTTAACCTCTCTGGACTTCTGTATCCTCATTTGTAAGGTAGGAAAAGTACTTTGCAGCTCTGTCGTGTGGATTACATCTTTATTTATGCAAGCAGAGCTGTGTTTTATTGTGCACTTGCCATGGACAAAGCATTTGGTTAGATACTCTCATATCCAGGGCTTCATTTATTCATCCCAGGAGGAAAGGGAAGGGGGACTACCTTTACCTCTATTTTATATATGAGGAGGCTCTTGTTGAAGGTGGAGCATTTGTCCAGTATCATGCAGCCAACCGGTCCCGCTGGATTCAGACCCAGGTGTTTTGACTCCCGTCAAATAATATAATGACTGCCGTCCTTGCTGTTCAACACCTGGAACAGCGGCGGGTACATAGAAGGCTCTCAACAAGGTGTGGCTGCTCTCGATCCCAAGTGCTGATGCCGTAGATGAAGGTGATGTCGGCTGTGGAACCCGCCACAGGCCGACCATGACCAGAAACGATCCAGGTAACTTGCAGCTATCACGGCCATTAACCTTGGTCGAGAGCTCCATGAGTGGGACGATGTGAGACCTTCCTCAGCAGGTCCCAGGTGCCCTGGGCCTGGGAACAGATGACAGATGGGGGCTGAGTGCGCAGCCTCAGCTGGACTGACGTGTGGCTTTGAGGCGCATTCCCGGAGGAGCAGAGGTGCTCCCCCATTCCATTCTCTTCCTTGGGGCAGGGAGCAGTCCTAAGGCTGCTCCAAACTCAAGAGAATTCACCTTCGATACTGTACCCACCTTCAACCACTACCCCTTGCAGCTAAAGGCGGGGGGCATTCCGGCCTCACTGCACACTCAGGATGGGGCACTCCCTGGGCTTTAGGGGGGCGCATCTTTGGGCACCACCCTGGAACTGGAAAGGCTGGCTATGGAGAAGGAAGTAGCCGTGGCCTGAGCCCCAGGACACGTGGCAGCCCAAGGGTTGGTCAGGCCTGTTGTGGGTGGGCTGCCCCCTGCCTTCTGCAGAGCCCTACTTGCTGCCCCATCGCCAGAGCACCCTGTCCTTGATGGACACGAAGGCGACGTGGTCTTCAGAGCGCCTGGAGGGCTGCAGGGGCTCAGCTACCAGATGACCAGAGGAGATGCGGAGAGAGCTCGGATTTACATCCACTTTACACCTCATTTGCGTAGGACCACATCCTGCCAAGCCCATACCTCTTGCTCATCCTCTTGTGGGGGTGACGGTGGGGCGGCAGGCAGGGAGGAGGACAGGGCCCCTGCCCGGGGCTGCAGTGGCAGGATCGGCTGTCCTGAGGCCCAGCGTTCCCTGCAAGACCTGCCAGTGGGCAGGAAGTTCTTCCTTTTCTGGGGGAGAGGGGGTCATTTCTCTCTTAGCCAAGAGCTCACTGGGCTAGGCGAGTGGCCCTTGTGGCTTTTTTTTTTTTTTTAAAGATTTTATTTATTTATTTGACAGAGAGAGACACAGCGAGAGAGGGAACACAAGCAGGGGGGGTGGGAGAGGGAGAAGCAGGCTTCCGGAGGAGCAGGGAGCCCGATGCGGGGCTCGATCCCAGGACCCCGGGATCATGACCTGAGCCGAAGGCAGACGCCTAACGACTGAGCCACCCAGGCGCCCCGCCCTTGTGGCTTAATGTCTATTTGGGTCACTTGGTTGCTGCTGCTGTCGGTAGCACGGTGGTCTGAGTGCTGTAGAAAAGGGGGAAATGCATTGTCCTAGGTTTGAAGGAAATTCTTCCTTCTACAGAAAATTCTTTCATTACCGTCACTTCAGGTGACCGAAGGCTCTGCCGGGCCCCTTCCTGGGCCAGGCTGGCGGGCCTGCCCACACCCTCCCCGTGGCATGCCAGGCCAAACACTGGGTCTGGGGGCTTCGGGGAGCCCCCTGGAACCTACCCCAGAGGGTCTGAGGCCTTTACCCCTTCCAGGTTTGGAAGGCAGAGGGACTGGGACAGAACACAGGTCTGGTTTGACTGTGCCCACCCTGGGCCCCCACCCTGACACCGAATTCCAGAAGGTGGGAAATGACCATGGAAGCAGTAACTGTGCACGTCACCTCTCTTTCCTCCTTTGGAAACGGACAGTAACTAACCAGGATTATGACACAGGGCTTTTCTACCCAGCGGACCACAATCCCTGCCGGGAGCTCCGTGGTCCTGGAAACCATGCTGGACAAGATCAAATCCCAACTCTGCCTCTTGTCCTGTGTGACTCTGGGCTAGTGCTGAACCCCTCTGAGTCTCAGCTTCCTGCTGCCTCCTAATCATGACACCATCCTGAAACTCATACATATGAGCAAATCTGAGGTCCAGGGGTCGGTGGCATCTGCCCTCCATGACCGGGATTCTCAGGGCATACACCTGCCCTTCCCCACCCCTCCGCAGTTTCACGGGTTCAGCTTTTAGGGTGAAGATCAGCCCTCACCCAGAGGCTCCAGCGGAGGTGGGTCCTAGGATCTGACCTCAGGGCGTGCCTGTCACTCATTCTCCCCCTGCTCTGCCCAAGGGGGAGGCCAGCCTGGGGCCTCAGCCATGCCTGGCACACCGCTACCGTACTGACGGCTCCGAAGGAGCCCACCCCACCGTCTTCTTCCCCACACCCGGGGAGGGAAGGAGGGCTGGGTTGGGGCGGGGGGACCGGGACCCGGGAAACACCAAGCAATAAAGGACTTTAAAATAGATTCACTTTAATTATATACTTCGGTAATTTGCTGCAGCTTCCCGTCCCTATTATTAAATTACACCAGTAACTCATCTAATGGATTTTCACTGAGAAAACATTCATTTTATTTTATTATGTTTTTGTGCTACGGTCTATAATGAAGGCAACAGGGTCTGGCCTTGTACCTGGCACGGGCCGGCTGGGGGTGCCGGGCGGGGAGGGGGCTCTGGGGGGCGGGGGGGGGCAGTTAGGATGCTGCCTGCTGGCTTGGGGCAGGTGAGCGGGGTGCTGTCAGCCCGGAGAAGTTGACGGTGGAAGGCTGGGGGCGGTGGGGTCTCTGCGGGAGGAGGCCTGGGGTTGGGGTATCCGGGAATCGGGGTGGAAGTGGGAGAAACGGGCTGCTGGGGATGGGTGAGGATGGGGGAGTGGACGGAACGGGGTCCCAGCTTCCCTCTGGGTCTGAACAGGCGCGGGCAGCCGGGAGGACTGGACTGATTCTCTCCCCCCTCTGCTTGCTGCTCCTTGGGGACGGGACGGGAGGAGAGGGTGTGGGAAAGAGCCCAGGAGCAGCCACAGGAGACCCGAGCGCCTGGTTTTCTTTGGCACGGAAGGAGAGTCTCTGAAGAAATTCAGGGCCGCCTGCTCTGGCTCCGTCACCCTGAAGTCCAGTCCCGTGCTCAAGAGTGTGGCCGCCAGGGCCAGCGCTGGTGTGAAGCTCTCTCCCACAGGTGCGCTGAGAGTTCAGAACATTCCGGGCTTGGTGGGGCCATCCTTGCTTCTTCGCCTCTCTCTTCCCCGGACCCTCTGATCTGGAGCCTCAGCTGTCCCTCTGCCTGAATATCAAAAGAGAGAGCGAGAGGGTACGTACGTGCGTTGTCCCCACGCTCCTGAGAGGCATGGATTGGAGGTAAGCCACTGGTAATCGTCATCATCACCACCATCATCATCATCATCAAAACACGTTTTGAGCATTTGCTATTTGCTTGGGCTGTGTTCAGCACTTTCTAAGTACTTTGTTAAAATTATGGCTCTTGTGAGGTGTCTGTCGTTCGTTATTAGTCCTCATCGACATACGAGGAAACTGAGGCAGAGGTCAGCTTATTAGACGTATTAGCGCTGAGTGCCTGGCGGAGAACCTGCCTAGACGTGACCCCGAAGCTCAGGCTGGTCACAGCTGGCTCTCAGAGGCTAGAGCACCAGGGCCACCCGGACAGGCCCCGTGTCTGGACGTTGGGAGGGCTGGGCTGGCGGCGGCGGGAATGGACTCTTTACAACGAGTGTCTCCGGTGGCCCCGTGCCCTCCCCGGCAGCTCCCTGTTACGCCTCGAGGCCTCGCGCTGTCCCACCCTGCTCTTGCTTCTTCCTCTCCTGCTCGGCCCCCTCTCTCCAGGCCTAGGCTTCTGGTGACCCGGCCAGGCCCTGCCCCCTCTGGGATGGGGACCTGGCCCAGACTCAGGTCTGAGGGCTGGGCCCAGATGCCCAGCGCCCAGTGGGGGCCCAGCCTGCCAGGCCCCACCCTCACTCTGCCCCACCTGCCAGGCCCCCGGGGTGCCACAGCTCTACCCGCAGCTCCCTCCACCTGTCACACGAAGGGCCTTGGCCTACCCCACTCTGTGCCCCTTGGCCCTGTGGTCCTCTGCGGCCCCTCTGGCCTGTGCCCAGTTGTTCTCGAGGCTTACACCTCGGAGGCTTCCAAGCTGCCCAGGTTCTACTCAGCTCGTAAAAACCCTCTGATTCGGGGCTGCCCCGGGAGGGACACACCTGCCTCACCCCAGGCAGGAAGGCAGCTGCCCAGGTCACTGCCCCCACCCTCTCCAACCTGGTTCCAGCCCGGGCATCCTCGCCTCCCCACCCCCCGGGGCTGCCCCAAGCCCCTAGCCTTCAGGTCCCCTGAGATCTGCTAGGGAGGAGGTGAGAGGCGAAGATGCACGCTCCCCTGCTCCTTGTCATGGGAACAAACCATCCCGCAGGGACCACCGTCACCTGTGCTTGGCACGTAGGAGAAGCAGAGGACAGAATGCCTCCCTCTCGAAGCTGCAAATAAAGACAGCCAGGCAGGTCAAAATAAGCGAGTGACATACCCCGGTGT